ATACTGTACCATATTATACTATTTTGTACTATACTATAATGTACTGTACTACACTACACTGTAGTATATTATACTATACTAAAAGTCTGATGTGATTCTTCTGTTTTGGACCTGTGGTTCTGAGCAGAAAACTGCTGATGATTAAATCTGAATTAAGTTGTTTCAACTGAACTCTTGAAGAATTTAGTTTTATGAAAAAATCCTTTAATGAAAGAATGTTTGAGACTTAATTGATTCATGGTTCAGCTCAGTTACTTTCAGTGAGAGGAGTGAGTGTGATGGTTGGGCTGTGAGGAGCTCAGTCCAACTGTGAACTCTAGGATAAGTGAGCATCACGACCTCCTGCAGCTGTAAAACATGAGAATGAAACAAACTGGGCCGGGTTGATATTAAGGGGCACAAAGGAACAGGCACGTCACAACGAGGTGAGTCAAGAGCAAAGACAAGCAAAAACACAAAATAATCCTAAAAACTAACAGAAAAAAATACTTTATAAAGAAGAACTTAATTTAATTTGAATCTTCAGAAAGAAGAAAGTTATAAATTAAACAATGGAAGACTTTCAACCGTACAGTCAAACTGATTCAGGCGACTGAGGATTAAATGAGCCGGGCTATTAAACATAAGAATATTTATTATTTATTCTGATTGTGGCAAAAAGAACCAGACAAGGAGAATTCATATAAACAAGATGTTTCAATAAATCCCTGATGAAGATCCACCATGTCAGCATCAGCTGAAACCATGAAAGAAATGAAAACAGGATTAAAAGGATCAGAATATTTAGCAGGAGAGGATCGTCTGTGATAAATCATGTTTTAAATATAGAACTCAAACTTTTTAATAACATTTGGGATGAAGGTTCAATTCTGACCAGTTAAGAGCATCAATATTACAATTTAATAAAGAAAATTTAAGTAACTATAGAGGCAAAGCTTTAACATCTGACATGATGGAGAAAGGTTTAATTAGCAGATGAATACATGTTTTTAAATAGAATTTATAATAATGTGGTTTCACAGCAGACCAACAGGAGCTGCATTAGTTACAGTTTGTAATGAGGAGGTGAGGTTAGGGTTAGAACAGCTAAATAATTCTCTGTATTTAATGAGAAGGATCAGGAACTGACAGGATGCTGTGGAGCCTGCACTGATGAAGATACTGATGAGGAGGGAAGAGAGGAAGGACCCGGATGAAGTTTGGAAGGAATACTGGACCAGAGGGGACAAAGAGGAAATACAGTATGTCAAATTAGACAAACATTGTTTTTACATTTCTCTCCAAACGTATTAAAACAAGTCAAATTCTCTTGTTTCTGTTCACTGAAGACGTTTGTGTTTAATGTCCAAACATGAAGAGTTCTGAATGTCAGCTTTTATTTCCTGCTGTTTACATGTAAACATTAGGATATATCACTGTTTGGATGACACCACAGCATTTATAGGTGAGCAAAAGTAAAGGAACAAATAATCTTAAAGTAAATATTATTTAATGGTACAACCATTGTTAGACCATTTGTTCGTTCAACAAACAAACAAACAAACAAACCGTTGTTTACAGTGACTGCCTCCAGCCTGAGACCTGTCAACACCAAACTGTTGATTCTTCCTGTGTGAGGCTGTTCCAGGTTTTTACAGCTTCCTTCAGTCTCCTCTTCAGGAGCTGAAATGTTCGGTTGGGTTCAGGACTCGGCTGATCTAAACCCTGATGAAGGCCTTTGTTTTGTTGGCTCACTGGGCCTCATGCAAGAACATGTTCGTATAAATTTCTCTTCCTTTTGTTCGTACAAAGGGTTCGTACGAACATGTCACGTCAGATTCAACAAACTCTTCTATCTTCAGGAAAACTGTGTAAATGAGCTGCGTAAACTAATGAATGTGTATCAGCTGCACGAGGAGAGGAGATTAGTATAATTACCACCCTAAAAACACCATATAAGGCTACGTTTCCTGCCCCACATACCAGGAAGTGTCCATTCATAAATGACATCACAAAGTAAAGAAGAACTTTACGAGTTCAGAGATTGAAGTCCTGCTCTCAGAGATACAAAAAAGAAAATCTGTCATTTTTAGCAGGTCAGCTGTGGAACTAAAGGAGCTGCTGAAGCTGAGGAATGAAAAGACGACTGCTGTTAATGTCGTGTCTCCTGTGGGTCGTCTACAGTCACAGAAATAAAAATCTAAATCATGTTCATCTCTCTAGTCCTGTTCCAGTTTTACTTTTGGTCAATTTTTTTTAATTTAAGTGTAAACAACTGCTAGATAGTTTTCATTTATTCAGAAGAAGAGCAGCCACACACCGCTAACTCCCGCTGCAAATGTCAGATGTGTTTCTGAAAAAAAAAATTAAAATGTCCACAAACTTCAATTAACTTCATTTAAATATTGTAGTGTTATACAACAGCATTAATACCAAATTTAATTTAATTTAACCAATTAATGTTGTTAGTTGCATTTAAAAACTAACTCTAATTCAAGCAGAATAGCCTATTGTCAACATAATTATGGAGTGTGATTTATTTTCAACTCAAAATATCTTCAAACTAATGAAATATAAAGTTCTTAGTGAAGAAAACCCGTCTGGATAACAGCAGACTGACTGCTGGTAAAATATACRACAGGTCTGGACCACTCCTGAATTTTGTTCGTATCTGAAAAAAATCTTAGAATATGAAAACATTGGTGAATGTCACAAATTCTCCTAAATCACTCGTACGCACAATTTAAGAACAAATCTGTGCGTACGAACGATTCTTGCATGAGGCCCATTGTCTTTTGTTTGGTTTAGTATGTTTGTTTTACTAGTGTATTGTGTCCCATTTGTATTTAAAAAAAAGAAAAAAAATCACATGAACAATTTATTGAAAACTTTTGAGGACCCCCAAGAAACAGCTCACGGACCCCTGGGGGGTCCTGGGACCCCAGTTTGAGGACCTCTGGTGTGGCTGATACAAATGATGATGTATCCTGAGTTCTACCTGTAAAGAGCAGGAAATAAAAGCTGACCTCTGAACTCTGGTCTCATTTGATCTTAAACCCAAACGTGTTCAGTGAACAAAAACAACAGAGTTCAACTGGTTCCAACACCTTTGGAAGCAGTTACACTCCTGTCCAGTAGATGGTGGTGTGCACCTTTGAGTTCACGAAGGCTGTCTGACTCACTACTACAGGTCCCAGCATGCTCTGCGTCGATGCTGACGTCATATTCTAGCGCCGCGCTCATTCTCCGCGCAGCTCGGCGTTTTTCCATAAAACAAAACAAAAAAAGCTTCGTGTTTCCTGAATTCTTGTAGCTTTTCTGCAGTTTTCTCTCCAGAGCCGGGAGGATTTGTGAGGGCAGGATGGGACCCGTAGAGGTGACCTTTGTTCCTCTCAGCTTTGTGATGGAGAATAAAGAAAGTAGCGCCGTTTATTTGAAATATTCTTGTTTAATATTAAACTTAATGTTATACTTTRTTTACTGAGTAAACAAACTCAGAGACATTAATGGTTTACATCGCTTTTATGTTTCTTGATCGAAATAGATAGTATTATTTAAGAAGACTTAAACCAAACCCCGTTTAAAAAGTGCGCTAAATTAAGAAAGCCTTCGTTWTGTTGTGTAAAAACACGAATAATAAGAAGTTTTAAAATATTTTCGTATTTAAAACATGCTGGGTTTAAATCGGCTTATGTGTTGATCAGTTTGGAGCTGATTTAATTATGAAAAGTTGATTTTTTTGTTGGAAAGAAGGCGACTGTTTCCTCTTTGTCACGTGACCTGTTCTGACAAACTGCGCATGCGCACTTCAGTCTGATTCTAACACATCAGTAAATGAGCCAAACTGAGGTTTCTGCACTGATGTCAGTGTGTTGTTAAATCATAAACTGACCTGAGATCTACAGTTAGTTAATTTATTATATCTTTATTGTTAAATGTTTGTTTTTTTAATCTCCTGAGCTGAATGTTTGACTGTAAACTGACCTCAGATTAAATAATGAGTCTTGTTCCCTCACAGCTCCTCCACATGTCGGTTTTCTCTCAGAGCTTCTCTCCCTGCGGACGCTTCCTGGCTGCTGGAAACAACTACGGAGAGATCGGCCTGTTCAGGTGAGACGAAACAAACGCACCTGCTCTGCCTCACCTGTGCTCTGTCTGAAGTCCACACCTGTTGTTGTTTCAGCCTGGCAGCCGCTCTGAGTCCAGATGCTACAGCAGCCAATCGGAAGCCTGTTTTGACCTTCACAGGTGAGTCCAGCACACCTGTGGAGTGATCGATTCAGAGTACGGAAAGCCAACAGGGCCATAATTCGCCTGTTTAACAAAATATTTGGCACCACTTTACAATAAGACTCCTCTTATAGATGGCTTTTAAAGAGTTTATAGATATCTTATTAATTCATCTGTAAACACTTTATAAATTATTAATAAGTGTTT